AGGTTTTTGTGATCTCTCTCTTTCTTTCTCTCTGACTCTCTCTGTCTCTCTCTCTCTGTCTGTCCCTCTGTCTGTCTGTCTCTCTTCTACCCCCTCCCCCGCCCCCACTCCTGTCTGACTGTTCTTTCTCAGTCTCCTTTGCTATATTTTCATCCAGGTCATGCCCACTAACTGTTACTGCCCCACAGGACTTTGCCTTGGGCTCTTGTCTCTTTCCCCTCTATACTATTTCACATATTGATTTCATTAACTCCCATAGATTCAAATATCATCTCTATGCTGATGGTTCTCAGATTTATTTATACAGTCCTAATTTCTGCTGACCTCCAGTCTGACAGCTAGGCAGGCTCAAACTTCTTGTTTTGAATTGGATGTCCCATAGTCATCTTAAACTCAACATGTTCAAAACAATCCAGTATCTTTCCCCTCAGATCCTCTCCCATTCAGAACTTCCCTTTTATATCATCATCCTCCCCAATATCCCAGGCCCAAAAAGAGGCAAAAATTGGCTTGATGCCAGGAAGAGCGCGCTGATAATTCAAGCTATCCAAGAGTGAAATGTACTGTCTCAAGAAGTGGTGAGGTTCCTCTTTTTAGAGGTCTTCAAGAAAAGACTGAATGACCCCTCGTTGGGTATAGGTTGGATTCAAGGTCTGCCTCATTTTCAAATTCTTTGAAGTTCCCCATGTTTGATGATAAGCATCTTGAGGGCAGGGACATGTCTTTGTTGTCTTTATGTCTTTCACAATGTAGTAGGCATTTATTAAATATTTTGTTGAATAAATATCGTATGCTAACAGTTGGTTGTTGTCCTTCATTCTCTGAAGAGGATCAAAATGACATCACTATATTACAGTCAAGTTATAGTGTGTCTGACTGTGGCTAATCAAACCAGTAAGAGCTCGGAATGCTCTGTCACAGGTTGACTACAAATAGTCAGTGTGAACATTTGGAGTGGATTCTCTAAACTTGCACATCTTATGTTTCTTTTGAGCTACTTCAATTCTGCTTCGCTCATAGAGCACAGCACCTTCTCTGATGTAGGCATGCCATGCTGGATGGTCCTGTGCCAGTGTCTCCCATGTCACACACTCAATTCCAAAGTTCTTAAGAGAGACCTTGAGAGTGTCCTTATATCACTTCTTCTGACTACCATGTGAACACTTGCTCATACAGGGCAAGTGCCCACATATGCTAACAGAATATTTAGTTTAAGGGGCAGCTAGGTGGCTCAGTGGATAGAGCTCTGGCCTTGGAGTCAGGAGGACCTGAGTTCAAATCCAACCTCAGACACATAACACTCACTACCTGTGTGACTGTGGGCAAGTCACTTAGCCCCAATTGCCCTCACAAACAAAACAAAACAAAGAATATTTAGTTTAAGCACTATGTGTGTTAATACTTAAATTTTTTTTGTTTTGTTTGCAAAGCAGTTAAACATTTATTTCGAGGCAACTAGGAGGCACAGTGGAGAGAGTGTTTTGCTTGGAGTCAGAAGACCTGAGTTCAAATCCCACCTCAGTCACTTACTAGCTGTGTGACCCTAGGCAACCTCTGCCTCATTTTCCTCATCTGTAAAATGAAGATAATAATAGCACCTGTCCCCAGGTTTGTTGTGAGAATCAAATGAAATAATAATTGTAAAGCACTTAGCATAGTACTTAGTACATAGTAAATGCTATATATATGTTAGTTATTATTATTATTAAAGATCCTACAAATATTAAATATTTCTTTTCCTTTTGGTACAGAAGGAGTATTTCCTTTGGTAGAAAAGGTCGGAGAGGGAAAGTCACTGCTAAAACAATAACTTTATTTGAAAACCTTTTCCATTGTCCATAGGAGGGAGGATAACTTTTCTGGCTCAAACAAAGATGAGAAAAGTGGAAAAAAAAATCACAAGCTCTGGAGGGATATTTATGAGAAGGTCATAATCGGTAAGTGACACCACTTTTAATGAGAAATCCTGTTTGATTTTTCCCTTTCATGTTTATATTGACTTATCTCTGTGAGCCCTCTCTTTTCCTCCCCACCCCATTTCCCTCTTCTCAGTTTCTCTGTTACTGTCAAGGGCACCATCATCTTCCCAGTACCCCGGGATCACAACCTAGGTGTAATCCTCAACTCCCCACTCACTTCACATATCCAGTCTGTTGCCAATTCCTGTCCTTTTTAACCTTTGCAACGTTTTTTGTACATCCTCTTCTTACCTTAGACACAGACTCCACCTTGCTGGAGGCTCTCATCACTTATTCTTAGATTACTGTAATTGTAGTATGTAATTTGGTTGGTCTCCCTATCCCAGGGAGATTCTCCATTCAGCTATTAAATTAATTTTTCTAAAGCACAGGTCTGACTATGTAGTTCCCCTACTCAATACATTTTGGTGACTATTACCTCCATGATCAAATATAAAATTCTTTGGCATTTAAAGCTTTTTATAGCCTAGTCCCTATTTACTTTCCATTCTTCTTATATTTTATTTCCTTATGTTCCATGCACAAGAAACTGCATTTCCCACCTCTACACCTTTTCATTGGCTGTTGTGCCTCATACCTAGCATGCTCTCCTTCCTTATCTCTGCCTCCTTTAAGACTCAGCTCAGAAACTCTCTTCTGAAAAGGGATTTTCCTGGTTCTTATCCCACCCTACCCCCAAATTTCCATATATCAATATCTATCTATCTTTTGTGTGTGCGTAATTGTTTTCATACTGTCTCCCCCATTAGCATGTGAACTCCTTGAGGGCAGGGTCTTTTTTCTGCCTTTCTGTTCCAAATAACTTAGCACAGTGCCTGGCACTGATAAGCACTTAAAAAAGGTTTTTTGACTTCTTGAATGATACTGTCAAAAAGCCAGATTGCAAGAGGTTTGGAAGAGAGTGAAAGGAGAAGTGGAGAAACTGAGTGTAGTTAGCTTTCTCAAAGAGTTTAACAGAGAAAGGGAGAAAAGATTTAGGGCTGTAGCTGGCAGGAATAGTTAGATCAAGTGAAATCCAACACTGCATATCCCAGAGGAGAGTTGTAAACTTTCCTGAGTTCAAATCTGGTCTCAGACACTTACTAGCTGTGTGCCCCTGGACAAGTCCTTTAACTTTCTTTGCCTCAGTTTCCTTATCTGTAAAATGAGCTGGAGAAGGAAATGGCAAACTACTCCAGCATCTTTACCAAGAACACCCCAGATGGGGTCATGAAGAGCTGGATATGACTGAAACGACTGAACAACTTCCCGACTCAAAATCTTGAATTCTATCCACTAAGCTATTATTTCTTCAAAAGTTTTTATTACTTTCTTTTGTTCTTACATTACTTTCATTTCCCAGGATATCCTTCTCATTTCCCTTAGAGAGCCATCTCTTATAACAAAGAATCAAGATGAAATTTTAAAAGTTCTGAAATACTAACCAGCCCATTAATCAAGCCTGTTTTTAGCATCCATAGTTTCTACCTCTGCAAAGAAAGGTGGGTGGCCCATTTTCTCATCTCCTTTTCTGGGCCAAGCTGGGTTATTAATAATTAGTGTTCAGTTTTGATTTCTTTTGTCTGAATTTTCCATTTGCATATTTGTAGTCATTGCATATGCTGTTTTCCTGGTTCTGTTTATTTCACTTTGCATCAGTTCATATCTTTTCATCCTTCTTTGAACTCCTTGTACTGTTTCTTATGTTAAGAGTCCATTACATTCATCTATCATAATTTGTTTAGCAACTCCCTAATTGATGAGCATCTTTGGTTCTAGTTTTCTGCTATTACACAAAGGGCTACTAAAAATATCTTGTTGCATATTGAAACCTTTCTACTTTGTACTTCTTGAAGTATATGCCTAATAGTGGGATCACTGGGTCTGAGGGTGACATGAAGGACTGTACCTTCTTTAGCTTCTTGCAGGAATTCTATTATTTTCATTTTCCTACTTAAGATAAAAGGCAGAAAACAGAAAAGTTCTAGCAGCCTTATTACTATCTTGTGATAACTTTAAGTTTACAAAGTACCAAAAATGTACTACATTTATATTTCTCTATAAAACAAACTCTAATCTGGCATTCTACCATCAGAACTTTATTATTCTTAGTAATTCAAAGTAGCATTCCATTTTTTTTGCATATTTTCAAATTGAATATTTGCAATATTTGCAGAAATGAAATCTGGGGGGAAATGGTAGAGAGTAAAACAGATTACAAATCTTTCTTATATTTCCTGATGTGGTAGATCTGGACTTCAAAATAGTATGCCCTACCCTAATTCCTACTTCTCCGATACACAGATACCATTTCTAAATAGCACAGGATTTAAAAATCTTTGCAAAGCATTTTGACAACAGGTGTCATTTCCGAGAAGAAGAAACCAAGTCACAGAGGTTAAGTGACTTGCCTAACTACAGTAAGACAGTAAACAACATCTGTGACTGGAATTGGTCTTCAGATTTCCCCTGATGTTTCCCTGAGACCACATTTAACATTTTTGTGACTCCAAACACCAAATACCTTTTAATTTTCATATCTCCTGACTTCAAATATCTTGGCTCTTTAAAGTCCACTAAAATTCAAACAAGCTCTGAAATAAAATAAATCAAAAAGTAGAAGTACAGGGGTGGTGATGGAGAAATTATGGCATTTCCCTCCAGTTAATGTTTCAAGGCATGTTTCATCAATATGGGCTAATTTTGAATTACTGCGGGCTGGAAATGTGATTTCTAATAATGAATTCATTTTTAGCAAAATTCTATGACAACAAAACTTAGGTGTTCTTTGGTACTTGTTCTAATGGTTTACATGCATATACTAAATGGAGAAAACAGGGTTATACACAAAGCCTGAAGAAGCACAAGTTTTCCATTATGGCCCTGCTGGCTGTTCAAAGGGGCAAGTTGCTTGGTCTTTCTCTGCTGAGTTTCCTTAGCTGTAGTAACTTATACCAACTGACATGTATCGATTAGAACATACATTAAAAATCATTGGTTTTGGTTACAAAGTAAGTAAATTTCAGACTCAGATATTAAGACTTAAAATTCAATGAGTGAAGTTATAATAGTCTTTTATTTTACTTCAATATGTAAATATGAATATAAGAATTTTTCTTACTACTTAGTAAAAAAATGAAAACCCACAAATAGGATCAAGTCGTGATGAAAAATGCAGCCAAAACTGTCCAAACTATATAAGTTAGGTTATGTGCATAGGTTAGGTTATGAAAGGACACAATGAGCAAACTGTTTCCAACTCTGTAAACTACCTGCAAGTATAAACCATGAAATACCTTTCTACCACACTTTAATTAGGTTCTGAATGACAGCTTTTTGGTATCAGGGAATAAAGGCAAATAGATTTATTCAGGAATCAAGACTGGCCAAACTGAATCTGTCCCCAGAGTGTTATACAAAAGCAAAAATCTTCAAATGTATCAAAAAGTAGCCTTTCTCCTGCTGGTGGTGATACTGAAGAGCTGCTATTATTTCCAGAAGCGGTAAAATCCCAGGGCTATTCCCAGGCAAGTAAAAACAGATGCTGTAAAAAAAACCAAAAACCAAATTATTACTACAGTATGTACAGCAGTCATGGCCACTTTTCCAAGTGTGTAGCAAAAATAATTTTATCCTCTATCTAAGTGGGAAGCAAAACCCTAAGAAGTCAACAAAGCTAGCCTTCTAGTCCATTTTCCACATACTTGTTTGAGTAGCATTAAGGACCATGTGGGTGAAGTGCAGGCCTGACAATGGTCCTTATATGATAATTTACAGACTTTCCCGCTCTATTCCTGATGTGGTAGATCTGGACTTCAAAATGGCATGCCCTACCCTAATTCCTACTTCTCCAGTACTTTAGATTGTAGGTATGTTACAAATAATCTACAATTGACAGGGAAACAACATTTTAAAGAACAAGATTATACAATTATACATTGTGGTAGATTAAAAGAAAACTGTTGTGTGGCTAGTAAACAGAAGCCAAGATAAGATGAGAGGAGAAAATTTGATTTGCCTTCAAAATGAAATTTACAGATGAAATTTATTTTATTTTAATGGACAGGAAATATCTAATTACTGATGTGGGAGTCACTTCTGAATCAATCAACTACCTATACAGCCAGAGCACTGACTTGTTAAAAAAAAAAAGACCAAAGTTAATACAAAGCTAGAAGAATAAAAAATGAGACAAAGATATGGCATACAATTAAAACAAGTCAAACCTGACCTATTTAGACAAATTATTATTGGTGAAACATGGTATATGGGTGGAAGAAATCCCATCAACACAATTAAAGTAATGTCTAACTGATATAAATCAATTGCTATACACAGGAGACCAAAAAAGCCTAAAAACACCTTAGTCAGCAAACACCTGACTTCCTTGTCAAATAGAGAGATATGGTAAGCAAGATCAATCCTGTTTAATTACATATCTCTATGACAGCAAAAGATTGGGAGGATTAATATGTCCTAAAACAGTGAGGCAGTGGAAGAAAAACACAATCTTAAGAAAACCTGGTTAAGAGACCTACTAAATAAAGTCATTCTAAGGTCATTTAAGGATGAACCTGAAAGTACAACACAGGACTCAAGAGATGTGTAAAGAATTTTATGACAAACTCTCTTCATCATAAATCTTTCTCTCTATTATAAAACTTCCAATGGAAAAGTACATAGTGAGTGTAAGCTAGCTGCAACACATTAAAAACAACTTATATAGAGAATTATATGTCAAGGATTCCATGTAAAAAGCCTAGGAGTAAAAAATGTGAGCTAGTCACATGGCAAAGTGTGTGGGATGATCAATGGGTCCCAAAGTGCAATGGGAAGATCCTTTGTAGTGAACTTAAGGAAGAAAATGGCAAAGAAATGGGCAGGTCCTTAGATCAATGAGATCATAGATATATTCTGAGTATCCTGTGTTATGCAAGTGAAAAAGGCTGCAAACTACCAAATGAGATGGAGTGCAATGAATAATGTTGGCCCCTGATGTCAAAACTTTGAGACCTGGGTGAAAAGTTGCAGAGTCCTATTTAGGCTGGATGTAACAAAAACCTCCTAACAATTGGAGCTGTCCAAAACTGGACTTGGCTACTTCAGGGGATCATGTGATTCCCCATCATCAGAAGCTGCCAAGCCATGGATGACCCCTGTCATCAACTTATTGAAAAGATTTGTGTTTGAGTACAGGTTGGAAAAGATGACTTCTGAGGTGCTTTTCAACAATAAGATTCTTTATGGGAAAGCACTTTGAAACATATAAAATGTTATGCAAATGTAAGGTATGTTAACATCTTATTTAGGGTAGTTGTTTTTGATAGTTATTTCTAAAATGTACGATCTGTACCAAAATATACAGTTCCTTTCCTTGTTAAACAGAGGATATAAAATCTAACTTGGCTTCTTGGTAATGCATAGTTACCATTATTATATATACAGCAGTTAGTGTTACCTGAATTTTCCATCTCCTTTACCATTAGCTCTCACATCTGAGGGCTATCAAGAATGCCTGCTCTGAACACCCCTCCCACCTCCCTTTTTAATTTGCTATTTCTCATCCTCTAGGCTCAGTGACATTCTAAGAACTCTACTTCAGAATTAAGTAGATGAGGGGCAGCAAGGTGGCACAGTGGATAGAGCACAGGCCCTGGAGTCAGGATGACCTAAGTTCAAATCCAGCCTCAGACACATAATACTCACTAGCTGTGTGACTCTGGGCAAGTCACTTAACCCCAATTGCCTCACATAAAAAAAAAAATCACAGAATTAAGTAGATGAGCTTTAGAGTTCATACTTTTTATACGATAATTTAGGGCTGTGTTCAGAAGGAATAAAGTTGCTAAGGTATGCCCTCCGAATAAGTAAGTAGAAAGAATTACTGTTTAATTATTGGCACCAATCTTAGGAAAAGATTGTCTTTAGTCTTACTAAATTCAAAGGCTCACCCATAATAACTCTCCTTCTGAGTACCTGAGGGAAGGGAAAGGGAAGGGAATGGAGGGTATTCCCAAGAGATCATGTTACCCTTTAACTGTAACAGTCTTTTAAAAAAGCATGTCAATCTGAGGAATGACAACATTTGGATGGTGAGGAAAGAGAAGAATCCTTGGTACTGCTTCAAACAAATCTTCCTAGGCAAAAGGAAAGGAGAAAATAGCAAAAGGTGCCCAAAGAAAATATGTGAAAGTGTGGAAGAATTATATGCACATAATTCACAAATGTTTATTGATGATTCAAGCTTCTCCATTTTAGACAAGTAAAATATTTCAGAGGTAATGCCCAAGAAGTGATCTTCTAAAGTAAAGCTGTCACTTTTAGTCTACACATAGAAATTTAATTAAAAGAAAAATGGTACATAACTCTACAACCCAAGAGCTAGAGCCTGGGTGGCAGGCTGAGGGAAAACAGCTCACTCTTACGAGGGATTGTCACACAATCCCAACACCAAATCACTCCAAAATGTCAAAAACTTATGCTACTCCACAGATGTAGAGTTCTGTTCTCATACAAAAACATTATTGTTCAGAACTCAAGTATAGTCCCCTAACATGCATGTTCTTATGGTGTTTTTTGTTGGGATATCAGTATAGGCAGTAGTACCTATCATCCCTTTGCTTTAAGACTCCATTTCTCTTTGGAGGAATGTTCCCTCTGGACTCAGAACTTTGTAACTCTACCATTTATGACTCTAATTCTCAGGGTGAGCCATATACAATATGGCTTGGGATGGAGCAAGCAAATAACCCTCTCAGAGGAGAGAACACACTTAAGAGGGTTTTGGTTTTATAAGCAATAATGCTTTTTAAAAAAGAAAAAGAAGTCACATTATATAGCAAAACTTAAAGCATCCACCTTTGTCCTCTCTGCCAGATGTGTTGTTAAAAATCACGTGTCCCCTCCATTAACATCCCTCTTTGCTTCTGCCCTGTTACCTTGACCAATTCTTATCAGAATGTTATGGGGAAAGTCTCAATGGAAGAAACTCTTTTGTCTAAGAAAAAACCTCTCCAGAAACAATAGTCTAGGCTGGCAGTCATTTGCATTAGTGAGAAATTGGCAGTCATTCTATCCTCTACATTGCCAGTTATACAGTTGGCAATATGTAATGTAAGAACTATGGGAGCTGCTGTAAAAGTGGAATGTATGAGGACAGCACCAGCTTTCCAAGTGTGGCTGAGTCTGTAGCTCCAATCTGTACTCAGTTTCTCTGAACATGGGTGTAATGGCTGGTGGGAATTTACTAGCTGCATTAAGCATGAATGTGCCAGGGGAGCTACAAGAAAGTGTCAGATTGTTGCATGTTAGGGCCACATACACATCACTGGTGATTCTTTTCTGGACTGGAAAGCTCCCCCCTCAAGTGCTACATATGGACCTTTATGTGCTTTATACAGAGGAAGCACTGCATGGGGAAAGAGAGCTAGGCTTGGCATCAGTAAGTATGAAGTCGAATGCTGCTTCCACCTCTTATGAGCTTAAATACCCTGAACAAGTCATCTGACCTCGCTGAGCATCCGTTTCCTCCTGTATTTAAAAAAAAAAGGGCATAATAATATTTCTACTAATTACTTAGAAGGGTTGTTGTGATAAAAGCACTCTATAAACCTTAAAAGTATTTTAGAAATATAACCTAAAATGTGAGTTTTTACATCCTATCAAAACCTATACATTGTAGCAGTTCTTGGATTAAGTCTTAAATTGTACAAATCTGAAAAAACACACACTACCAAATTCCTTTCCTCCAATAGTACTTACCTGCAAGATAACGAATTGTCTCGAGTTTGTTTGACTCCATCAGTGTTTTTAGAGAAGCAATTTCAATGTCAATTTTATTGCTGGTCTGTGAAATACTGTTTTTGATATGGGTATCCTAAAACAGAAAACACAATTTTTATTAATTCAGTCTCTCTATGCTATTTTAAAACAAATTATGTCATAATCCACTTAGCTCTTTGACACAGAAAAAAGTTTTTTTTTTAAGGTTAACTTACATTAAAAGCATAGCCTGGGGAAAGCTAAGTATTGGGAAGAGTCAGAATAACATTGACAAGATGAACGTTTGGTAAATACTGTACAACAAGAAACATATTTAGGAAGCGGCTGCTTTGTAGAGTTCAGCATGCTAAGTGCCTGGGGAAATGCCAAGATTAGGTAACAGAGTCCTTCCTCTGCCTCAAGTATTCTGAGTCAGCAGGTATAATGATACAAATCCTCCACTGGAAGTCATGAAACCTGAGTCTTTTTTCTGCCACTAAGCAGCTGTGTGTCTTCTAATGCCAATGAATGTGTCTCCTAAATGCAAAGCAATGTGATAAGAGAGAGAAAAAGATTAAATAAGACATAGTACCTACTCTCATGGAACACAAAACCTAGAACATTTGGAGAAATCCCTTCATAGAATCACAGAGTTTAAAAATTCAACTCATACCTGACCAAGAACCTGCTCTATGACATGGCTAACAAGGTCATCTAGCCTTCTCTTGAAAGCCTCCACTGAGGGAAAATTTACTACCTCCTGCAGCAGCCTATTTCAGTTTGGGGGCAGTTCTCAACTGTGAAGAACTTCTGCTTAAACAGATGCTACATCTGCCTCCTTGCTACTTCTGCCTATTAAGCCTATTCCTGCCCTTTGAGGGTACACGGAAAAATCGAATTCCTCAAATACTTCAAGACTGCAATCAAGTTTCCTCTCATTCTTTCACCATAAGTCTGTTCTTTTCTTGGTTAAAATCCCTAGTTCTCAGTTTGAACCACTTTCTTTTGAAATGTTCTCCAGTCCCTTGCCAGCCTTGTTCACTACTCCTGGATTTGCTTCAGATTGTCAATGTCCTCCTAAAAATGTGGCAGCAAGAGCAATACAGCATTCCAGATGTGGTCTGAGCAGGGCAGAACAGAGCAGGAGCAGCACCTCACTCAGCCCTGCACACTGGCTCTCCAGGAGATGGTCAGCAGATGGCTACTAAGCAAGAGCTGAGATTCAGGAAAGAGATTAGGGTTCCATGCTGATTTCAGAGTTATCTATGTAGAAATGGCACTTGAACCCTGGAGAGGGCAGGAGATCCCCAAGGAACAAATACTCTAAGGCAAGAGATGGATGATGATTCAGCAAAGGAGAATGAGAAAGAATGATCAGACAAATGGAAAGAGAATCAGAAGAGGTCCAGGAAAATGAGGAGAGAGAAAAGAACAAAAGACTAGTAGTAGCAATTTCCTTAGTGAAGTAGGAGGCTCAGCCACCTGCTGCAAGGGTATACACACTTTGGAGCTGAAGGAAAGGGGAGAGTTTTTTGCAGACCAGTAGCAACTCTCAGTCATTAAATGCATCAAGAAGCTGGGTGGGAAAAGAGAACTCAGAAGGGCAAATGAGACCTTTCTCCTGATAAGTCACAAGGAAGAAGCAATCAGGTCTTTCTTGCTGGAGTGAAAATGAAAAGGTAAAAGAAAAAAGTGTAAAAAATACCAGAAAAATAGCCTAAAAGTGTAAAAATACCCAAATACTGGAGGCATGAATACTGTCAAGTGCTTTTGTTTCTTAAGGTTGAGGGTGAGTTCAAAAGTACTCTGATCAAAGAAAGGGGAAAAGGACCCACATGTACAAAAATATTCATAGCAGCTCTGTTTGTGGTAGCAAAGAATTGGAAAGTGAAGGATGCCCATCAATTGGGGAATGGCTAAATTAACCGACCAACCAATCAAGAAACATTCATTAAGCACCTTCTGTATGCCAGGCACTGTGCTAAGTGCTGGAGATACAAAATGAGGCAAAAGAGAGTCCCTGTCCTCAATGAGCTTACAGTCTAATGAGGGAGACAACATACAAATATACACAAAGCAAGCTATATATAGGATAAACAGGAAATAATAAGGGGAAGGCACTGAAATTAAGTAGGGTTGTAGAAGGCGGAATTTTAGTTAGGACATTAAGGAAGCCATGGAGGTGAATAGTCAGAGCAGAGGAGGGAGAGTGTTCCAGACATGGAGGACAGCCAGAGGAAATGCCTGGAACTGAGAGATGGAGGGTCTTGTTTGCAGAATAGCCAGGAGGCCAGTGTCTCTGGACAGAAGAGTTCGTGTTGGGTATAAGGTGTATGAAGACTGGAAAAGTAGGAGAGGCCTAGGTTATAAAGTGCTTTGAATGCTAAACTGGAAGTAACAGGAAATCACTGCAGTTTACTGAGGTGACATGACTGGACCTGTGCCTTTTGTAAAATCACTTTAGTGGCTGAATGGAGGATAGACTGGAGTGGGGAAAGACTTGAGGCAGGCAGACCCACCAGTGGCCTATTGGAATAGTCTAGGCACAAGGTGATGAGGGCCTGCACTAGAATGATGGCAGTGTCAGAGGAGAGAAGGGGACATATTGGAGAGATGTTGCAACAGTGAAATCAACACATCTTGGAGTGGGGATTTGAGAGACAGTGAGAAATTCAGGATGACTCCTAGGTTTTAAGCCTGAGGAACTGGGAGGATGGTGTTGCCTCTGCAGTAATAGGGATGGTAGTGGGGAGGAAGGGCTTAGGGGGAAAGATAATGAATCCCGTTTTGGACATAATGAGTTTAAGATGTCTACCTGACATTCAGTTTGAGAGGTCTGAAAGACCTGGATATGTGAGACTGGAGATCAGCAAAGCGACTGGGGCAGGACAGGTAGATTTGAGAATCATCAGCATAGAGACAGTAGTTAAATCCATGGGAATTAATAAGATTACCAAGTGAAGTTTTCTAGAGGAAGAAATGAAGGCCCAGGAGAGAACGCTGAGGGACACCTATGGTTAGGGGAAATGATCTTGAGAAGGATCCAGCAAAAGAGACAGAGAAAGAGAGGTCTGATAGGTAGGATGAAAACCAGGAGAGAATGGTGTTCATAAAACCTACAGAAAAGTGAATGTTCAAGGTATACAGAGAGGTCATGGAGAATAAGGACTGAGGAAACGCCACTGAATTTGACAACTAAGAGATCATTACTAACTTTGGAGAGAGCAGTTTCAGTGTAATGGTAAGGTTATAAGCCAAATTGTAAGTGGGAGAGGGAAAGAAGGGGGGGAGGGAGAGAGGGAGGCAAAGGTAGAGGCACCTATTGTAGATCTTTTTGAGAAGTTTAGCTATAAAGGACAGAATAGATATAGGACAATAGTGTTGATGGGTGATGGAAGGAGAGTGAGGTTTTTTTGTTTTGTTTTGTTTTTAGGATGGGAGAGACACAGCCATGTTTCTAGGCAGTAGGATATGAGCCAGTAGACAGGGAGAGATTGAAAATCATTGAAAGTGTGGAGATAAGAGATGGGGCAATCTGTTGGAAGAGACTGGATGGAATGGGACCACTTGAATAAGCAGCTTTATTAACTAGTGAGTCCACCTCATCATGTGAGACAGCAGTAAAGAAGACAGTGGCAGAGAAGGTACGGGAGTTCAGGTCAGTGGCTTCAATATTTTTTTTTTCAGTAAGATATAAGGCAAGGTTCTTAGGCAGGGGGACCCATGCAAAGTTTGAGAAGGGATCAAAAGTTGGAAGAGCTGTTGTGGAGACTGGGATAGTGAATTAATAAGGGAGATATACTGGGACCGTGAGGGCCCAGGTGAAGTTGTGTAACACAAATTTGTAGTGCACCTTAGTTCTGCATGTGTAGGAGCAGAGGAAATAAATAGTGGGAGTAATTCAAGGCTGAAGCTTGGCTGGGTTTCATTGGCAATATAAGTGGGTGAGAGATTTAAGAAAGGAGGAAAGTGTAGAGTTGAATGGGTTTGCCAAGGAGTCAGGATGGGGAGAAGAGAGAATGGCTAGTACATAGGAGTTGGCTTGGGAGAGAAATGATAGATCAAAAGATTAGAAGTCACAGTGAGGATGAAGAGTAGCGTTATATAAGGGAAGGCAAAGGGAGAGGTGAAAAGCCAATAGATTATGATTGGATAAGGGGATTTCAGAGTTCTTGAATATGGAGGTGGTACATTTGTGGGTGATGACAACATCAAGGATATACCAATCTTTTTGTGTGGCTGAGGTGGGATGGAGGAGTAACTCATAGGAGGTGAGTAGATTGAGGAACTGGTTAAGGTATTTGTAAGGAGTCAATATGTATGCTGAAATCCCTTAGTATGAGGGCAGGAATTGGGTAGGAGAGAAAAGTTGTGAACCAGATATTAACCTCATTCAGGAAGGAAGGTGAGTGACCTGGGGTGGGTCTGTAGGCAGCAGCTACCAGGATTTTGATTAGGCAGTAGATATAAATAGGAAGAACCTCAAAGGAAGAGAGGTTATTTGTTGGGAGCTGAGTCCTTATGGAAAATCTCTAAGTCCTTAAAGACTTAAGGGGTCAGTAGGTATTCTCCAAGACCTTACGGAAAATTTTGCCCAGTTTCCATAACATCTGGAAAACCATGAAAAGAAAAAATTATTTGATTTGTGCAAGGAATTTCTAACAAACCCCTCTGAGATTTTGGATTTTCCCTGTCATATTTTGTCTGTATTTGTTCTGTGTTTGTCTGTGTGGTATAAGTGAGTGTCCACGTGTAATCTGACACCCTTTGTAACCAGGTAGCAAGAATAGCATTTCAGGGGCTGCAGCTGGACTCTGGAATGCCGCTTTCTTTCTCCCCTTCTTCCTCCTTAATACCAGCCGCCTCACAGTAGCCGGTGGACGGGAGAGAGAGGGAGAGAAAAATACCTTATTATTTAGGTTATATGATTGGTAAAAGGCAAGTTGAGAAGGATCCTCAAAGTGTCAGGTCAGAATTAGAAAGAAATAAGATATGTGCAATTTTAAGGGGACTTCAAAGTCCATCAGAGGGATAAGTAGGTAGAAGGAAAGGCAAGAAAGTTAAAGCACGTAGGAATGAGAGAAGCATGGGTAAAAAAGAAAAGCATATGCTATT